CTGCTGACACCTCCAGTGCCTCTACCTGCTTCATTCACAGGCCCCCCCCAGCTCAGGCCTTTCTTTGGGTCTTCCTGCCTTACAAAATACAAGCAACAAGGACTAACTGCAGGGATTTACAGAAAAGCAGGTGTTCCCCACCCTCCTCCCTCCCCAGTCCAAACGTGCAAAGCTTCATCACTCACAGGATGAAACACTTTTCATGTCTCACTGCAGACTTTGTAAGGTGAGTATTTTTGCCACTCAAGACAGCAGCCCAATAGTGCTTGCATGAAATAAACACCTGGTCAAATCCAGGCCTCTAAACAGCTTCTAATATGACTTCAGGCTGCAGTGAGGCAGCCTGCTCAGCAAAACAAAAATGTACAGGCAAAAAACTTCAGTAGGTTAGGCTGATGCTTGTGGTTGCTCAAGTGAGGGGACAGGAACCAGCCAGGCCATGGTGTGAGCTGCTGCTGCTTGAGCTGCCACTGGGATGAAATGGTTCCTCGTGAAAACTCACCTGTACTGCAGAGTATCTAACTTACATATTTAACAAAGTGGGGGCTTGGGTAACAGCTTCAAGGCTATCTCTGCTTTAAGAGTTGTAACCTGGAGAATGTCTGCTAACTTCAAGAGGCAGTTCAGGCCTGCAGATTTTTAAAGGCTGCTCCAGGAAACCGCAAACACTTCAAATGATCTATTAAATTCTTTCGTTGGAGGAAGGGGGAAAGAAGAACAGTTCCCTACAATTCTAAAGCTGTAACCCAAGGGAGATGGCTGTCACGTACTTTCCTCCTGGAGACGTGCCATCACCTGGACATCTGTCAGGTCCTGCAGCTTATAGCCCATGGAGATGGAGTCATCGGACGTACTCAGCTCGCTGTCCACGGACGACTGGGAGCTCAGAGCAGAATGCATGCTCAGATAACCTAGGGAGGGGGAGGAACAGCACTCAGGAAACATTCAGACACCCACACACATGCCAAGAACGAGCAGCAGAGTGTTTGTTCCACTAACAAAGCCTGTGAAGTTGAGGTTTGGTTGCTAGAAATAATTGAGTAGTTAGAAATTGCTCGAGAAAGAAACGCTCGCTGTTCTGCCCTGCCCTGCTCAGGAGGCAGAGTGTCTTTGTGCAGGGAAAAAAACTGTGGACTTCTGTCCAGAAGGTGGCAAAAGGATGCTTGGTAATTTTAAGCTTAGCATCATCCTTTAAAAGACCAATATTATTCCTCCCTATTTTGAGAAAGGGGCAAATATTGATCTAAATTTCAAGCAGCAAAGTTACACACAGTGCTTGCTAGGGTGTGGGTGAGCATTGCAGGAGTAAAAGGAATTTAAAGGGTATAAAAAAAGATAAAACCACCAAAAAAACCCTGCACATCACTAGGAAAAGTTCTGGAAACACAAAAGGATTAGTGGATGCAAAACCTCCACACCACCAGTGTGCTCATGTGTGCTTCATGTCACGCTACACCCTAACAAGCCCCAACACAAACTAGACCATGTAACTTACAGAGCTGTTATAGGAGAGGACATCAGTACTTTAATTAATTCCAAGATAAGGGTGCAATTAGTACTATATAGATTTAGACCCACCAAAAAAAAAAGATAATTAAAACCCACAATCTGAGAGAGGATCAGACAAAGCTGGTAGATATGCAAGAGCCTAAGAGCACTTGACATCACTTTCAGCTGGAGCCAGCTTAGGGGACACAAATCCTGCTCAAGGAGGGCTCTGAGATCATCACTTGAACAAAGAGCATCAAGCAGGTTCCAGCACTCCAGCAGACAGAGCAGGAACACAGGTCAGACCACACAGCCTCTCTAGGATGTCATTCAACACTGACTGTCACTTCAGTTTGCCTGCTGTGGACTCCAGTGCACCCACTGAGGGATTCTCAGCAGTGAAGGAAACATTCTGTCTGTTCTCAGGGAAACCTCTACCAACCACTGCTGAGTAGCCCTCTCCAGGAATGCTTCATTCCAGCTGGCAGGAAGAAGCTGCAGGTTCCCAACACTTAAACCAGTTTAGAAGAACAGTAGCTGCTGACACAAAAATTACATGTTTGAAGTCCAAGAGTAAAACAGATTTCCTAGATGGACACTCAGCCAGCTGCTCTGTACCAGTGAGCCTCCAGTTCCTCACTGGAAAGGCACATAGTGCTTCCAGTTTCAAGATGCTGCCACAACACCATGACTGAAGTGTGACTGCAGTGTGTGCTACACAAACCCACACTCCAAACCAAGACACCCCAAGCATTGACCCTGTTTCTGTCCTCCTGTTGTCAGGAAAGCTGAAACACAGCCCAGAGGATAGCAAGGATTGCACCTGTACACTGAGCAAGCACAGGTTTCCTGCTGCAGCTGACACAGCCCTTAGTACTAAAAGCTGTATTTTAAATTTGTATTACAAATACAGCTTTACTTAAAAGCAAAGTTTCCAATTCAGTTGTGTTTGGTCTGGTTGTTGCCTTTCAAACTGCAGGTCTCCTTAAAAGCAGTTGAGGAGGGGAAGAAAAACATTTACTTTCTTTCATCAGTAGAACCTGTTGTGGCTCAACCCAGCAAGAGGAACTGGGTATGGTTTTCATTACAGAAACTTCCAAATAAACCACATCTGTATTTTCTAAAAAGGTTGGGGGTTTTTTTTGTGGAGTTCTTAAGGGAAGTCACTGACACACACTTCACTGGGGCAGCAGGGAAGCTCTGTTTTTCTCAGAAATAAAAAAAGATTTAAGTCAATGAAGCTGACAGTGACCTTGAAACTCATGTTAGCACTTCCAGGAGTGAGAAGGGAAGAGCCACCTAGCAGATGAAGTGAACTCTCCTGCAGAATCCTACAGGACAAAGCCTGGCCCAGAACTGGCTTTTTATCTGGTACCCTTGACAACTGCAGATTTGCAGGGTGAATGAAGGAGCCTAGAAGTTGCAACAGGCACTTTGGTTTCACACACCAGTAACTGCTTCTGTGTGAAAGGGGGGTCAGACACCGAGACTGCCAACCAACCTCATGCTAAAAACAAGAAATTGATTTACAGGTTTTTTTCTTTTTACCCTTCAGAATTCAGTTTGCAAAGATAACCAGCCCTACATGCATCCTCTTGCTTGCAAAACAGAGACAGGTGTTAATTCCTACTTACAGCAGAAAACCTGCAGAGCTCAGACACACCTGCAGCTGGGAAAACATCCATAGCCCACCTGTTGGGTTTTCTTATTTAAAAAAAAGGTTCATTTCACATCACGTTTCAAGCCAGAAACTGTGAAAAATGCTTTATGGTTTTAAACATGCAAATGAGGACACAGTGGTGAATATCCACCAAAAAAACCCCAACAAACCAAGGAGAACTCCTGAGACAACAAAGAGGCAAAGCACTGGTACTAGGAAACTGAGCAGGAACTGAAGCTCCTGGAGGAGCCTGCACAGTCTCCTGGGGCAGCAGTTGAAGTGCAAGTGCAGCCTGGAGGCCAAGCCAGTCAGGAGGAGCTTCATTATCACCTCTGCAAATGCAGGCTGCAACCAGAGCCTTGGCTGCCTCGAGGGGGGAAACCTTCCCCCAAACACAGCCAGGAAGTCTGAGGGAAAGCTTTTGCTGCTGTGTGCTCAGCTGCCCACTCTGATTTAAAGGCACATCCTGGTGACTGAGCCTCTTGAAGCACAAGGCTTCTCTCTGCTGCCCTCATCCATCAGTGCTTTCTAATTAAACTGCACAAACTCTCAAGCCAGAAAACTTGAGTCCAAGTAACTTTGATGAACTTAACACCTACATAGGATATCACTACTCAAGAGCAGTAATTCCTTTGCCCCACCAGCTGTTTTCCATTTTAAGTCACTTAAAATTATTAGTACCATTTACAAACACATTCAGAGAAAGTTATTCAAACAAATCCATGAAATAACTACAAGGCATCTGGGATGCAAGGGGGGTTTCTCCCAGGTAACAGCTGCAACCTGGGTCAGCAAGGGAGCAAATTAAAAGGAGAAAACCCCACAGGTGGACTTGCACCTCTGGACAACTTTTCCCTGTGTCAATCAGAAACACTCCTTGCATTCTGAGCACGACAGGTTTGCAGTGCCCTGCTGACATGTCATACCTGAGCTGCCACAGGTTAGTAGTGCTTTGTTAGTCGATTTGAGATGCCCGGGAGAGTTTAGTGCATTGCTACAGGAGCCTGCCTCTGTATTCAAATTATGTGCACTTGGTGATGCCAGGGGACTGCAATACAGGTTTTTCCACCTACTGGCTAGAAGGAAAAATACAAAAAAAGCCAAAAAACGTTACAAAATTAGTTTTAAAAACAAAGAGCATAAGATAAAGGCATCAGATCAAACAAGATTAAATACTGTAACAGGTGTGCTTCAAGTGAGACCTCTTGATGGTGCCAGCTCCAAGCTGCAGGAAGCCAAGCAGTGCCTCTTCCCCCTCTCACTCTCCCCTTCAACTTGTTTTGTCTCTTCTGAGGAATTCCAAGGATAACTACTGACACTCCTGGCTTTCAAGCAGCCACACAGTTCTGAAAGTTTCACTGCTGCTCTTCCAAGATGACTGTTTGCATTAAGATCTGTCACTTCTACACCCCATCTTCATTTTAAAGAGCTCCACTTTATGTTCACATGTATTATTTTGAATTTTTAATGCTGGAATCAAACCAGCATCAAACCCCAAAAGCTGTGCCTTTAGAGTCAAAGGAGAACAAATTATTATGAAAAACAACCATTCTGGAATATTTATTCAGCACAGGCTTGCACACAAGTTAGTGAAGCAATCTAAAAGAAGCCAGGTAGCAAAATTCTCTGCATCCAGGCTTCCTGCAGCTGGAAATAAAGAGCTAAAACACTAAGGAAAGGGCACAGTCATGACCTGCACATAGCCAAGGGGCTGCTGAATTAATTGCCCACAAAACCCTCATCACTGAGAGAGTAATAGCTAAGAAAATAATATGAATTCACTGTATAAGTAGTTTTCTTTTTTATTTCCCCCACAAATAGAAGGTCAGACTATTTGAGTTACAAAGGAATGAGAGAGCACAAGTAAAGCCTGATACATTTCAGACAGAAAGCAAATCAAATGAACTTTAACTCAAGTTTCTAAGTGCAGCTGGTTCATAAAAGCAAATGCAGTTTGTTCCCCAGCTACGTTCAGTTATCTCAAATCAGGAATTTCAAGGCTAAACTCAAACTAAACCTGATTACAAGCAGTGCCAAAACACTGTTAGTGTGCAAGGTTAAAATCCAAACCAAAACACAACAGTGGGTTCTCAGACTTCAAATCCCTGAGGTCAAATTCCTGGTCAAACTGAAATCAAAATGTCTGCATTTGCACCAAAGACAAAGCCAACTGAAACCCTGGGCAGACAACAGCTTTTGTACCAAACTGGGGGCTGCATTTTCAGCAGTTAAGAAGATCCCTGAACTTCAAACCATCAATTATCTCAGAAACTTCACTTTTTCAAACACAGCTTTTGTGTTTAGAGCTTCATGAGTCAAAGCAGACAGACAAGGCTGCAACATGTCCTGCTCTGCAAAGCTTTGCAATGATGGGATGTTAGTAGAAAAGAATAAACCCAGACATCCCTCCTGCTGCAGGGGAACTCACAGCTGCCTGTACAGGAAAGCCAGGTGAGAGAGGGAACTACAGAATACAGGACTGCTCAGTCACCTCAGCCCCCTCAGTGTCCTGGCCATCAGCAACTCAGCCCAGGACTTGCACACTTTACACACAAACCCAGGTTACACTTGCAAAGAGCTAAGGTAAAACATCCACCAGGTGGATTCCAGGTGCTGCAAAGGTGTGGAGACACAGAATCACCTTCTCAGTTTTGTCATGAAGGAAACAGTGCATCTGTCCTAACAGCTCTTCTGTCAGTGAAAGGCTCAGCTGGGACTGACCCTTCTGGGTAAAGGAATAACAGCCCACAAAACTATGGCCCCAGAACACTGACTCTGCTGGTGGGATGTGGGCACTGGCAGGACATGCCATGGTGCTCTTGCTCCAGGCAGATTCAGCAAGGGATTTTCCCTCAGGGGTCAGTAGCACAGCTGAAAGGCACCATGAAGAGCTTTAGGGGATGATGCAACTGGAAAAAAGGCTGGTTTTCTATTTCACCATTTCTTCCAGTTCCAGATTTAATGTTTTGCTATTGTAAGCTTTGAGCACCAGATAATGATACCCAGGCAGCAACACTAATGGGGCAGTAAGAATAATCACCATTAGGAACACTCAACAATACTAGAATTTTTACATTAAAAAAGCTACAATAACAAAGGGTTACCAAGGGTGATGGAACACTGGGACAGGCTGCCCAGAGAGCCTGTAGAGTCTCCTCCTCTGGAGACCTTCAAGACCCATCTGGATGTGTTCCTGTGTGACCTGCCCCAGGTGGTCCTGCTCTGGTAGGGGGGTTGGACTCGATGATCTCCAGAGGTCCCTTCCAACCCCCTAACATTCTATGATTCTGTCATAGTTTCAGATTCTGTCCCCCCCTCTGCAGAAGCACGTTTTCCCTCTAAGCACTTCTACACTGAAGAGGTGTGAACAATAAAAAACAAAAACAAGAGCCTGAAAACACCGACTCTGAACATCTTCAAAAGCCAGAAAGCAAGGTGGCCAATTTGGCAATGAATTTCAAAGGCCTGTATTTGTGTCTGAACAACTACAAAAAGGCAAAACTTCACAATTCAGTTTGTTTTGTCTATTACTTGTAATCATCAAGTTTTCTGAACGTGTAGAGAATGATCCACCCCCCCAGCTGAGCATTGCTGGGAGGCTCTACAGGGTAACAAACACAGCTGTGCAGCCACACTCCTCCCCTTCACTGCTCCTCAATAATGCAAAGTACACAGGTGTAAATGAAAGACACTGGAAGAAGCAAGGTGTGTGTGAGTACCTTGATCCAGCCTGCTGAGGAGGGTTCTGCAGGCTGCCTCTGTCTCAGGACTGGGGTTGTCCAGCACCTGCCGGCACCACTGCAGGGGCGAGTTGGTTTTCTGATCTGTGGCAGATTTCCTTGGGGACACGTAGAGCCTTGGAAGGAGACAGTAAAGAACACTCATTAAATAACAGCACACAGCCACTGAAGTAGCTTTTAGTGAAGTACACCTAAGGCTAGGCAAGAGAAAAGCTATCCAAACTAAAAACAGAGGGGAAAATGAAGGTTGAAATGGTACACGATGGCTCAGGAACAACATTTCCCCTCACATCCCTGAAATGCACTTCCAGAGCAAGCACCAGCCTCTGCAAGGCAAGGGCCAAGGCTGCCTGCTGGAATACCACTACAAGTTAAGTTGCTGGTACACTTACCATCACCTCTCACCCACCTCTCCCTCCACTCCTCCCCCAAGCAAAAAACATCTCACTCTGAATGACTGATAGGAAGTCTGCTGACACATTTCAGGGATAAACCATTAGCACAGATTCAATGAATGCCAGGCTGGAAGGGACTGTAAGGATCACCTGGTCCAACCCTTCTAGGTACTACTCTACTTTATAAGAGGTGGCTCAGCACCCTGTCAAACTGTCCAGCGTGGGGGAATCTACCACTTCCCTTGGGACACTGTTCCAATGCTGGACTGTCCTCGTGGTGAAAAATGTACCTCTTGTGTCCAATGGGAATCTCCCCAGGAACAACTCGTGCCCAGGACCCCTTCCTTGTCTTTTCCATGTGACTCCTTATAAATAGGAAGTCTCCATCTTCTTGGCAGCCACTCTTTAAGTACTGGGACATGGTGATAAGGTCTCCCTGAAGCCTCCTCTTCTCCAGGCTGAACAAGCCCAGTTCTCTCAGCCTCTCCTCATACAGAAGGTTCTCCAGCCCTGATCATCCTTGTGGCCCTTCCCTGGACCCTCTCCAGCCTGTCTCATCCTTTTTGTAGAGCAGGAACCAGAACTGAACACAATACTCCAGGTGCAACAAACTAGAAGATGTAGAAATCTCCAGCCAGCCAGAAGTGGGGCTGTATGTAACCTCTCCTTTTTTACATTGTAATGTTAGGCAAGTTCTCCCACAGCCCAAGGCTTTCACAGCCCTAGTGCACCTAGCATTGTTCTGCATATATACACAGGATTAGACAGATTTAATAATCTTATAGTCTTGGATTGTTTCTTGTCTCCTGCTATTTACTCTTGCTACTGTTTGGGTGTTGAGGGATGGGATCTGGGTGGAAGAACATTATTCTCTACAGCCCCTTGACGTGTCATTCCTGGCTTTACAGATCCTAACAGTATCCCTGCCCCTGGCCAGACCCATCTTTTTCAGGTAGCAGAGATTCAGTCTCTTTAGGTCTCATACAGCAGATTTTTCCTTCTGAGCTTTACACAAAACCACAAGCAAATTTCAAAAAAAGTCCCAAAGCTGATTTGCTCTTGACAAAATAAATGCTGAGAAACATGAACACAAATATTCCTGAAAGTGCCAGTAACCTTCTATGAAAGACCCCAGAAGTCTTGCTGCACTTCTGCATGAGTAAACCAGCACTACAACCACTCAGATCCAATAAAGCAGAGGAAGCCAAGTGCCCTCTCTCTGGATTTACTTTGCAGTTCAGACCAAAAAAGCAGCAATAAAACCATCAAGAGGGCAGCAGCCTCCTCAGGGCAGGTCACACTGCTCTACACGTCCTCTGGGTTGAGAAAATCCTGCTCTACTTCAGGATACAGTATCTCTCTCCAGCTCATTCCATGCTTCTAATCTTGTTTCTGCCCTGCAGGATCAGCTGAAAATGGTGACACTTGTTTGCTAGAACTGTTCCACATGGAGCAGAGCTCCCTGCCCCTGGGGTGTCCCAGCCCCCCCAGCCTGGGAGAGGACCCTCCTTCTCCCCCTGACAAGCCTGGTGACAAGCCATGGTCTCACAATCTCACTGAACTCAGTTCAGTAAGCACACCTCCATGTTCCAGAGCACTGGCAGACAACTTATACCAAAAAAAAGAGGAATTCTGGCCCAATTTCACAGCATCATGTTCACTATTTTCCTTTTTAAATAGCTTTGGGGAAGGGTTCAACATAATTCACAACTTCTCAAAACAGGCTGGCACAGCTTATCCTTCTGGAGCACCACACTCCACCACCTGACAAAAACACCAGCCCTATAAATACCAGTGAGTATTTTTCTGGACACACTGTTAGGAGCCAAAAGTCACCTTTTCCTGTGGGTGACTGTGGCTCACGTGCCACAGCAGCAGGGGCCAGGTTAACACAGGGTCACACCCCCAGCTGAGCTGGACCAGGCTTCCTTCTGAAAGAGGCTTCTGCAACAAGCTCAACTCACTCTGCTCAAAAATATGTCAAATTTTATTTTTGGTAGTTTTAAGCTGGCCAATCAAACAGCCTTAGAGGAAAATTGAATCCTATGAGCACTGGAAAAAACGTGCTCAGGTGTGTCATGAAGAATGCACTTGGCTGCCAGTGTACAAGTCAGCCAAAGGCTTTGGGCTTTAACAAATACCTGATTAACCAACAGGCATTACCTTGCATTTTGTTGCTAAAACTCAGCAGTCTGCCTGTGAAGCTGCTGTGTAAATGGCAAAGGGTGATGCTTTGAATCTTTTCTTTTGTCAAGCTGCAAAGGAGTTGAGGAGTTACTTAGATAGTTCCAAGGCCTAATGCAAAATTCAGAAAGTAAACACTGGGGCACACAGTCTCCACTGGAAGTACTGAAGTGTTGCCACACAGCTTATTAAATATGAATGAGATTTTCTTCAGCTTCTGGAAGGAAACCCCCAGAAGCAGCATCTTCAGTTTCTGCTGCTGGTGAATCTGTTTCACTTTCCCATAAGTAGTATTTTATGAACTGCATCTCTGGTAAGAGCCAAGTAGTTTCAGTTCTGCAGGAAGCACAACCTGAGATTTTTCCTCCACTAAGAAGGAAGGCACCCAGAGAAACATCTGTGGGATTCTCTGCATTTCACCATTTGTAAGATACACCTCCACAGAGTGCTAAGGCAGCAGCTGAACTCTTCTCCAAAGCATGTATTTCAATCTAATGATTAATTCATTTTCTTTTCCTTTATACAGGCTTGGAAGAGTTGGTTTTCAGATGACTGTGTTTATGCTGTTCTAACCTCAAATCGAAGATATCAGATCTTTCTTTCTAAGGAAAGATCACAGGAAAACCAGGTGGTCTGTGGGAATATACAAAGAGCAGGGAGGTAAAGTTCTGCCCCAAACTAGAGGCACCAGATGCCATATTTCTCAGGATGCTCTGTTGGTTTAACACCTGGATTTTGTGCAGAACCACATCCTCATTTTGTGGAACTTCTCTGGAAGTTCCCACCTCTGATGGCACAAGCAGCTGCCAAGGATGACACCCTGCAGCAAGGTGAATCCAATGCCTTAAGACATACACACACCCTCAGGGGACTCAGCAATTTAAAAGAAACATAAAGAAAAGGTTCTGTTGCAGGGATTTGCTTGATAGTTACGTGTGTTTTGGTGTTGTTTGTGGTTGTTTTTTTTTAAAAGAAGCAGAACATGATACATAAAAGCTTCTCTGAAGCCCCAGGTTACACCCTGGTAGTTTTACCACTGGGATCAAGCTCTTAAACAGCAGCAGGAGAGAAATGTGCAAGGGCCTCCCCTCCTGTCAAGGAGAAAACCTAAAGGTGTTTGAGGTGAGGCATGGGCACCTTGGCACTCCCTTCATCCACAGAGAGGGAGGCAGAAAGAGTCTAATCCAGGAAAAAGGAACAAAGAGTATTTAAAAAGTTTAAGGCTTTTTACTTCTGCCACTTTCCTTCTCTTGCACTCAACGACACATTAGTAAGAACACTTGATTTATTCCATCACCATTTCAAGACAAAATGCTCTCTCCCAAGTCTTATCAGGAAAAATAACTGAACAACTGAGCAAGTGGCAAAACACCACCCAAGCAGCACAGGAATGTGCTAGAAAACAAATCACTGCACAAAGAACAAGAAACTAAATGCACAGAAACCCACAAGTTAACTCTTGTATGTGGGGAGGTATTGTTGGTTCCCCTCTGCACAGCCTTTCCATGCGTGGCCCAGGAGCTGAAGTGAAGCACAGGGGAGCAAACTGGTGACCACCAGTGGGCAAACAGCATGAGCTGGAACAGCACCAAAAGGAGAGACTCCCAGTGGATTGGGTCTCCAGGATATTTACAATTTTGAACAGTTACTTGAGAAAGGGACCTAAGAAAGCAAGTCAAGGGACAGGCAGCCCAGAGTACAGAGTTACAGCTCCAGCAGGTGATGCAGAACCTCATGTTTCACAGTTCAGGCCCTGAAATGTTGTTTTTAAAAAACAAAACCTTAGGCATAAAGGCAGCAATTTCAAAACAGTGCAAAAAGGGAGATACCAGCACCTGCAGAGCACAGCAACAAACCCTCTGCCCAGCTCCCTGGTGCTGCTGCCTTCACCCTCCCAGGCAACAGCTGCTGCTGTTCCCACTTCAGCTCCAGTGGCAGAAACCCACAAGGCAGATTCAAGCCCAGGTTGCAAACCCACCAAGCAGCATCAGCACAACACAGCACAACAGGAATTATCCTGAAAGTTGGGCCTGTTCTTGAAACTGGAACAACATGAAGATACAAGAACCAAGGACTGTCTGTGTGAAAGCCTCCCACTCCCCACCCCCTATCTGAAACACTTTAAAGGAATACAAAATTACTTCTCAGTATTTTTAAGGTATTATTAAGCATCACCTCCTCTACCAGATGGAAACAGAGAAAAGGTCAGCACAGCAGAAGGACTGGGCTGTTAAAACGTAGCAATTCAGCAGTGACAGGAAATAACAAACCCACTGTGAATTTCTCAGAAATTATCAAACATCAAAGTGCACATGTTCCAGCACTGGCCACAGTTTTGTCCTAATGTATAATATTAAAAAAGGACTAGAAATACAACACCTCAGGAAGCTGTTCCCTCTGACCAATGAATACACTGCTCAACACATGCAGATGTTACATCCATCCAGGCACTACCAAATTCCCCTCCTCATCAGCAGAGCCACTGTATTAAAACTGATCCTAAATCCAAACAGTATTGAGGGGGTTTTATTGGGGGGCTTTTTGTCTGCTTTTTTAAAGTCTGTCTGTGATCTTTACCAAGCCAAGCCAGTTGGAAGAATCTCTCACATCATGGGTCACATAAACACAAACACAGCTGTTTCCATTAACACAGAAATAATGAAGCCTGCCTTCCAAATTAAATATATCCCCTTATTATTATTATTTTTTATACCCCAATAAATTCTGCTCCAAATGCTGTTTAGGTAAGTTAGACAGTTTCAGTGATCAAGCTGGAGCCAGTCTATGGACCTTGACCTTTAGCTAGCTTTGGAAGGGCAAGGGCAACTAATCTGCTGCTGTATAAAACAAGCTCTAGACAAGACTGCTGGGGAAGTGCAGAGTCCTCCAAAGTAAGGCCAGTTAAGGATTACATCACTGATCTGCTTCAGTTCATGTCTCCAAACAAAAGAGACAGGTTAACTGCAAACAAACAGCTTTCAGGAGAAGGAAATTACTTCTCTTCTCAGGTACAAGCAAAAGCCACAAATTCCAGAGGGTCTGAGGTCTCAGTTGGTGATTTTCAAAATTCTTATTTCAATACAGGACCTGACAGCTCCGTACAAAGCTTAACCACTCCCTTATTCCCTGCTCTGCTGCATCCTACGTAAATAAACCCACAGGGAAAGGAAGTTTTCTGTGCTTGCTACAGCAGCAGCAGGAAGAGAAGGGGAAAAGCAAGTCTTGTAGTTACACTGGTGTGGTTTTTTTTAAAATAATGCTCTGGAACAATGGTCTTAAAAATAAGAAAGGCTGATAATAGGAACTATAGTCCTGCTGATCAATATCAAAGCACTGCATAGAAATCACTTTATACCTTTAAAAATTCCTTCCCACCCCAAGAGAGGAGCTCCCAGGAGCAGCAGTGTAAGCCCCAGGGGTTGCTGCAGCTCTGGAATACCTACCAGCTGTCTTCTTCCTCGTTGCAGTTTTCAAGTTCTAGCACTTTCACTTCGTCCAGCTCCGTGTTGTTGGGAAGACTTCCTAGATCTCCACATTTTTCACTGGGATTCTGTTCATTTATCTGAACTGAGGAACCAACCCCTGGGAGGCCCAAGTCCCCCAGAAGCTCTGTGCTGTCCCCTGTCCCCAGATGCAAAGCACACCTGGTGTTCTCCTCAGTCTGTGCTCCCAGCTCCTCAGTGCCACTGCTGCAGCTGTACCCCGTGTGGGCATCCAGGCCTCTTTTCAGGCAGTTGTTCTCTCCTTCCTCTCTTCTTATTTTGCTCAACTGCTTGTGCAGATCAGCCACGATCTGCAGCTCTTGCTTCTCCCTGATCACGTTGATGCCGTTGTTGATCTCCATCCCGTTCAGACCAGCCCCACGGTGACCCACCCCGGGATGGAGCTCGCCCTGCACGTTTGCCCCCAGCACACCCCTGCTGCTCTTGGTTCTCGGGTGCTGGTTCTGCAGCTCCAGCCTCCTGACCAGCTCCCGCAGCTTCCGCACCTCCTCCAGCTCTGGGCCAACCTCCTCCTCGGGCTCAGGGCCCGTGTCGGGGCCCATGGCCGGGCTGCCCGTGGGGCCCAGTCCTAGGCCGGGCTCCAGAGCACGGTCCTGCTGGATGAGCTGGGCATTCCCGGGCACCACCATCCTGCAGGACATGCAGCTTCCCCTGCAGCACAAGGAAAACGTGTCAAACCTCCACCAAACAGGCACGGGATTTCGAGCAAACTGGAACCAAACAGCCAAAAAATCCCGACTCTTAGAAGCGTAAACTAATTACACTGGGGCACGAGGTGACTGAATTTAATCAAAAGCTAATTAAAAAAAAAAACAAAACAACCCCACTTTAATTTAGCATGAAACATTTCAACAAACACAAATCACTGGTTTTAAACAGCTCGGATGTGCAACTATTGTGCTACAAATCAGACTGTATCAAAGGAAGCTGATTTAATCGTGCACAATAGTTAAGTTTCCATGTGTTGACAAACAAAACACACGAGAAAAGCCCTGACTGAGCAGAGTCAGGAAACATCATTAGCAAGTTGCTGACGTCAGGCAGTGACAGCATCAAGAAAATGGTGAAAACACCCTTTGTTCGTTACCAGGTTTATCCTGGAAAAGCAGAAACAACCTGAAAACATTTCTGTGTTGACCTGGACCAAAGCCTGACAACAATGACCAAGGGCAGGAACTGCAGTTGCTGGGGTGCACAAAAATAAGCACCACTAATGTCCTTGCTGGCAGACTGTCCTCTTACAGCTGAGAAGCTCTCTGATGCAAACACAGTGAAAGAGAGGGGGGAAAAAAGAGGACAAATACATCACACCATAGGTTATAAACGCCAGCAGGTTCCATAAATGAAGCTCTGCTCTTCCTGCCCTAAGTGCTCCTGCTCATCCTGTGGTTGTGCTGAGCAAGGAGGGAGCAGAGCAGCAGCACTCAGGGAGCTGGACACCCAAAGTGCTAAAATAACCCTGGTGCACTTAGCAGGCAGTTGGACAACACCTACAGAACAATAATAACATCTGTGCATTTAACACACAGTTTTGCAACACTTACAGAATAATAAGCAGCTGGTAGTTTCCCCTCCACTAGTGATTTACACGAGTCTCCAGCTCCAACGTGTGTGTTCATTTCTGGACTGACTCTTCACTGAGAAGCCCCTACCAGGAGATTCATCATCCACAGAGCAGGTAAAATGGATTCCCCTAAAAAAAACAACAACCCTTCCTGTCTTGAGTGACGGGCAGAGGAGGGAGTCAGACATCACAGCCAATTCAGAGTTCACAAGGGCTGATTCTGGGGGGCTGTAGCTGTTCTCCCCCACTCCTCCTCCTGTCTGAAAACCCCTCCCAGCCAACAGCAGGCAGAGGGAACCACAAAAATTAAGTGTCACAAGGTTAAAAACAGAGACACCCCCCCCCAGGCACACCTTGGCACCTCCCTTCTACTTAAGTCACCTGCAGCAGCTGAGAATGTCTCCTAAAATAAATACAGTTTGTTTTTTCACTTGACAGGGTGTTTTGGATGCGGGTCCCTTACTTGCCAGGTTAAAGTGTCAGGTCTCCAGGTGAACAGGGAGTGACCAGGAGCAGCACTCACGGGAGGCTGTGCCCGGGCAGGGCTCAGGGCTCACACTCATACCTGGAACAAACATCGCTCAAGTCATTTTTGACTCAGGGGGGAAACACAGACCCTGTAGTTCCCCCCCCCAGCAGCTCCCCGGGTACCCCCTGCCCAGCAGGGACACAAGCAGGACTCCCAGGGCCCGTGCAGGGGGTGATGCAGCAGCAGGGGCTGCAGGAGCTCTCCTGGCAAACTGCGACCCAAGGGGACCCCCCTCCCCGCCGAACC